GAGCGCCGGGAGGGCCGCGGGCGCCCCCTCCCTCCGTGCCCCTGCCACGCGGGGCTGGGCCGGGGGTCGCCCGCCTCCACCGCGCCCCTCCTCCCTGGCCCAATGTTGTCAGGGTCCTGCTGCAGCGACCCCAAACTCTGCGGGGTGTGGGGGGAACGGCATCGGCGTGGCCTGGCTGAGGGTCTCCGAGGGGCAGGACGTGCAGGAGGACGCCGGCCCACCGCCCCAGCGCAAACACGATCAGCCCAGACAAACCTTCCATCAGGCCCAGCGAACTCGGAGCTTCCAGTGGGGCCCAGCAGACCAAAGTCTGAAGCCACCTGTGCTGCTGCCTCTCTGGGGGCCTCCAGGAGTCACTCCCCTCTCTGGCCTGTTTTCTTCTGGCCGTCCCTACCTTGCCCCTAAGGGTGCCAGGCCCACAGTAGGTGGCCCAACACATGTTGAGTCTGAGTCTGAGCAGCTCAGGATGGGCTCTAAGCAGCCCACAGTGCGATCCAGGCTGACAGCAGGGAAGTCCACACGCAGGAATCCAGCAGGCAGGGAGGAAGGACGGGAAGGGTGTTCCGGGCAGAGGGCACAGCCAGAGCAAAGGCCCGGGGCCTGACCTGCTCGGGGAACTCAGAGTGATCTCTCCTGGGAGGCTGACTGCAGGCAAGGAACTGGGGCTGGGTCTATCTCTGCCCTTTCTCATGCCACAGCCTCCGCCCTCACCAGACTTCCGGGCGTGTAGAGGGTATGCTGTCACCAAGTGCTGGCTGGAAACTACCAGTGGTGCCCAGCCAATTTCCACCTCTGTGTTTGTTTCATCTGCCAGGCCTGGTGCAGAGGAGGGAACCACAGACTGGGAGCTAAGAGTCTTAAACTGGAAGGTCCCCACAGGAGGGATTATCAAAACTCCCTTCGGGGACTGTGAGAGCTCAGAGATTGACAAACTAACCTGTTCCCCAGCAAGGCAGGAGTGGCAGATGAACCTACCACGGCCACACACCTGCGGTGTGTTGTGGGCTTGTTTCACGTGTCCCCTGGGCTCCCTCCCTCCTCCCCCACCTCCCCACACCACCCGACCTTTGCTCAGGATGTGCCCTGCTTGGAAGTCTGTCCCTTCGCTTCCCATTAAAATCCTGTTCATCCTTCAGGGCCTGTCCCACCTGGTGCCCCACCTTCCCTGCCATGACAAGTTGCTCGGTCCTCTGCCATTGGGAGCTCAGCCCGTCTGTTCTGGGTGTTCTGGGCTTGAGGTCTTGTCACCTGACCTGACTGCAGATGCCCGCATTTGAAGGCCTGGGGCTGGCCCAGCTGGCTCCCAGGAAGAGGATGGAAACTTGTCCCAGGCGTGACCGAGGCAGGCTGGGAAGGCACCCTGTGCGGCTGGGTCTGGTCCGGCTTTTTGGGGAGCAGAGGGGTGGCCACTCCTGATGGGAGCATGTCCTGAGCAGAGGTGTGGCGGCTGGATCCAAGCCCCGGACATGGCACCACAAGCGCATGGGTGTCAGTGTGTCCAGCCAGGCCTCAGCAGTTTGCCTGGCGAAGGGCGCGTCCCAGAAGCTCCCTCTGCCCTCGGAGGACAACCCCTGCCCACTTTATGAGACCCTGTAGGTTGCGGGGGTGCATGGGAGGAAGGGGTCTCCACTCAAACCCAGCAGGGCCTGGGCCTGCTCAGGGGGAGCCTGAAGGGCACATGGGGCTGAGAGGACCACCTCAGCAAAGGCCGGGTGGGTTGGCTCATTAGCATGCAGGGGCCACCAAGGCGAGAGCCGCTGCCGCCTCTGAGCAGATTTGAGCAGAAGCTCCGTCTCCCTTCTGTTCTTGTCTCTCAAGGTCACAGCCTGAGCAGGGACAGGAACAAAGGCACCATCCCTATCCCACTTCCCTGTGCCCGCCGGCCGCGCCTAGAGGAGGGGACTGGGAAGGGGAGGGCAGGGCACGGCTGCTCCGAGGCCTGGCTGTGGGCAAGGCTGCTCGAGGGGACACCTGCCCAGCCAGGGGACTACTGTGGGAGCCCCGGAAGCCCTGTGCCCTCCCAAGGCTGGGGGCTGTGCCAACCTCAAGGCTGGGCAGGCAGGGGATCAGCTGGGATGAGGGTCACTCTGGAGTAAGTTTCCTTTGGAGTCAAGGATCAGAGGTCAGGCTCACTCCAGGCACAGGCATCAGTCAGGGTCAGAGTTTATCCAGTACCAGCTATCAGCCCCAGGACAGGGTCTTTAATGGGGGCCCATACTTGTCCACCCGGGTCTACCCCAGACTTGGTGGCGGGGGTCTTTTCTGGCCCGTCCCCCTCACCTGCCACCCACCATCCCAGGCCACAGGACAAGGCCGCAGGGCTTGGGATCAGTGTCTTGCGGCACCCCAGCCTTCAAAGGCCACAGCCCGACAGAGGAAGCTAAAAATATGCACGGAGAAATTTCTCATTACAGAATAAATTGGACCAAATCCGCTGCCTGCTCTGGCTGGAGTGGTTTTCAGATGCCCCAGCTCGGCCAGGCGGGGGTCAGGCAGTAAGGGGTTGCCATGGCAGGGGAGCACCACTCCTGAAGTGAGCCCCAGCCGCCTCCACTGGTCTCCCCATCTGTTGGGCAGGGACAGGTGTCTGCACCCTGCGGGGGGCAAGGAGTGTCTCCCCTGGGCTTTAGATAGTTATCCTTGAAAATAAAATTGTATCCCTTCCTCCTGCTAATTAAAGTTCCCATCCCCCTGTCCAGCCAGGCCCTTAAAATCTCAGCATGGACCCCGAGACTCCTGCGGGCCCAGAGCCAGCAGTGGGACAGGACAGGCACGTGTTACTTCCCATCTCATCCGCCTCCCCCCAGCTCCTGGGCCTGAACAAAGATCCATCCTCCGCTGGCCACCACCACCAGCCAGCCTCCCCATGTTCAGAGCTTCCTAGGACGATGGAAACGTTCCGCATCGGCGCTACCCCACGCAGCTCTGGGTGGCGACTGAGACATAGGATTTTTAATTTCAAGTAATTTTAATGATGTACATATAAGTAGCTGCTGTACATGCTTCCCGGAGCAGAAACTGTGCCTACCCAGAACACGGATGTTAACAGCTGCCTTGGGGATAGTGGCAGCTCAGGACCCCTCCCACCCCCCCCCGCAGAGAATGACTTGGATACCAGGGGCCACCGACATGTGCAGCCTGCGAGGCCATCTCACAGGCCTATCCACCTGTCCCCATTTCCCAGATGGAGAAACTGAGGCCGGGAGCCTGGGGCCTGTCTGAGGCCACAGGACTGGAACCTGGGCCTGACCAGCTGCAGTGCAGGAGACCCCAACCTGGAGTCTGGTGGACGTGTCTGGTTGCCGCGTGTTCAGCGGGCAAGTCGG